TCATTTTTTAATAAAAAAAAAAAAATAATTAATGCATGTGGCTTACTCATATATTATTTTTAGTGAAGAAACATGTTTGTTTTTCAATTTTTTTATTTGTTTTTTTTAGTTAATGATATAAGTGATGGATCAATCCATGATGAAAGTGATGATGAAGCTCTAAACCTTTATTATTGGAGAAATAATATTGATCAAATATCTAGCTATAATAATTCAATGTCACATGCTATACGCCAATTAAGGAACTCTAGATCTGGAAGACGCTCAAGGAGATTTACAGACCATCCTTATTTTATGAGAAATAATTTAGATAATAATCCCTCTAATAACAGAACAATCCATCGACGTGTTCGTTTTTCATCTACAAACCGAGGATATAATGATCATGTAAAATTTTAGTTTTATAATCTTATTTGCTTTAAACTGACAGTATAATTGAATTACTAGATATCATTGAAATACATTTGAGCCTATCTTTTATGCTATGTAACTTACACGTAGTTTGAATTTTAAATCCAGGATTAAAACCTAAAATGACAGGTACCAAAACTTTTTGAAAATCTTGGGACTGGGACCCTAAATAGTTTTTTCATGTATTAAAACCAAAACCTAAATTTTGATATAGAAGTTTTTTCATTTTTAAATTCCAATAGATATTTGATCTGTTTATGATTACAATAGCTCAATTACATATATCTAATAAATATAAAAACCTAGATCTGTAAAATTATATCAATAATTACGGTTACTTTTCTTAAATTAGCATACATTTGAATTCTTTATCATGTGAATAAGATTATAATGGTACCGAGAATGGTACTCAATTATTGTCATTAATATGCCTTATGTTTGTGTGTAAAATAAAATATATGTGTAACAAAAAAATTATATGTTTTTTGGTGTTCTTCTGTTGGTGGTATGCTCTTGAAATTTGAACCATAGATTTATTATAACGCTTTTGAATGCTAAGTCTGAATAATTAATAATAATAATAATATTAACCAAAATTGAAGATTAAAGTATMAAAATTTTCAGAAAAAAAAAGCTATATTCATAAAATTAAAGATGTGTCCGTATTTAGATGTATTTAAAGTGTACAAAGTATTGCATGGTATTCTTAATAGCTGACATTTTATGAACCACTATAATATAACTATAAAGTATATATTTTTCTTCAAATATTAATATTTCTATTAATTTTATTTTTAGTTTCCTGATAGATCACAAACTCCAGAACAAGAACTTCCTGAAGTACTAGAACATGTAATGGAACCTGATAACCAATATGATGAAGTCTAGTTAGTTAAAAATATTATTCTCTTATTCTTCATCGTAATAATGATTCATGAAATACATTATGCTAATTTATTTTTATACAATATAGTCAGAGTCCAGATAGTATGACAAGTGTTTCATCTCATAATGATGCAGATTTTGGTGATGATAGAGGATCTCCACATTTTTCAGTTTCTGAAAACCATAACACAAATGCAGATGAAGAAAATAGAGATGGTACTTTAGATRTATCTAATGAAACTCCAAGAACAAGAGTTGTACCATTTATTATGTCACCAACACCTTTTAGTCCGCCACATGAATCTCCTCCTGATACTCCAGAAATACCGGTGACAAGAATAAATAACGACTTACTGAATGTGACTAGGAGTACTAGAAGGAGATTACCATTGATAATGAATGATGAAGTAGAAAATGATGAGATTTTTAATCAGTAAGTAACTTATATATACCTTATAATAATTTTTAAGAACAAATGAAATCCAAAAAAGATTGGTAAGTGGTTATCACTGATATACTGAAGTTGATGAGTATGTCATTGTAATGACTAGTGGATGTGATGAATTTGTATTTAATGATAAATCATTGTATATAAACTAAGATCATACACTATGGATAGAGCAACTGCATTATGAACGTGTACTAAGTGTTGAAGACAACATTAAGAGGATGTTATACATGCATGTGTTGTATTCGTCTTACAAGTGCATTACGTAGCTTTTTGTATGCTCAGCAGAACACGTTTAATTCTGTGACTTTAAAACTTAGAGTGAATTGACCTATTATAAAAATATAATAAAAAGCCTTTAAGAAGCTCTCAATAATAATGTTACTTTTAATTTTTATAAGAGGTCAGTTCACTCTAAACTTTAAGCTCATGGAGCTAAACTTGATTTGCTGTGCGTAAAATTTGGTATGTTGTGCATTTGTAAGATGTTGACAACATATGCACTATGCAGGTATAACGTCCTATTAAGGTGACTGATATTTATTGTGCATGCGTAATCATTATAATACTAAATAAAAATATATATATATATCTAAGGGGTGAACCGTGCACCGTGTGTAACTGTGCGAGATATACATTGCACACATGCACATTTCAATTTACCACAATTCACCTTGTTATTTTGGCTTCAAATATTTAGTCAGTAGCTCTATCCATTGTATATGAACTAAGTATACAAAAATAGTTTCTGAGTAGAGACTTTAGCAAACCTGAATAAATAACTAAATTTAATAAAAAAATGTCATGGCTATAAATAGCTCGAAATAAGTTAAAATATTTTGAAAATATAAAATCATGTATAGAAAATGATAAAATAAARATTTGATGTATTTACAATTATTCGTTTTTGAATTACAATTAAATAAGAAAATCATTTGATAAAAACTCGGCTATCTCTGTGTAAATATTTGATGTTGAAAAAATTTGAATTTCAAATGCTGCCCATCAACAAATACTGTTGATTTACGCTCAACTTTTTATTTTTTTCAACTAACAATAACTTTTAACATTGTTCATAACATTATTTTAGTTTTTCAAGTAAGAATTTTTTGTCATTGAATGTTCTTTATCCTTTAATGATCTTAGCCAATTCTTTTTTAGTCTCTCTGATTAGTCTGTTATAAGTTGTAAGTTATAACTTATAACTGATCATTAATAATTTTTTAGACGCCTTAACTCTTTTGAGTATATTATACTTTCTTGTTTAGTTGGATCATTAAATATATTTTCATTTTTTCCCAAAACTCAAAAAATTGAAATGCTTTATTACTGTAGTTTTTGTGTTTTATTCATATAATGCTAAAATATAATACTCCTAACATAATTTTCAGTAAATTATAATAATTATTAATAATTATTGTGGATTTTAATATTTTCTTGGTTACATAAGTTATTTTATTTTATTATTTTTTTCCAGTGGCCTTGCATTACCACTTCCTGATTACACTATTCCTGGTCCATCTCAGTTCAGATGTGTTGTAAGTTCCGGCATACTTAATAATGATAATGGTTCAGTTAGTAGAACAATTGATGTAGAATTAAATAATACAGAGAATGAGCCAGTTAATAATTCAGTAAGAATTGATGAAATAGTCGATTCTGCTAATGAAGATAATAATGAAACAATCTTGACAAATCCTCATTCTACATTAACATGTKCAATGCATAGTAATGACCAGTAAGTTTTTTATTTAAATTGTATGTTTAATAACTATAAAAAAATAATAAATAATAATATCAACTCTAAGAAATTTCTTTCTACTGTGAATAAACAGAAAATAAAGTAATGTTGTGGATGTTCAATATTAGGGCATTCCACTGTACAACACATTAACACATTTATGAATAACCTATTTAATAATTGAATAACTTACTATAATATTTATTTAAATTTATAAAAACTAAACATTTTAATTGTAGGTAATTTATAAATTTTAAGTATATAATATTTAGTATTTTAAAAATATTTGTAAACATCAATTGTATTTAAAATTATGTTGATATAGAGCAACAGAAGAAACATCACCAATACATGTTGAAGAACATCCAGAAACATATKTGGATCTTAACGTTCAGTTACTACTTTTATTTGAGTGTCCAGTATGTTTTGAACATATTATCCCTCCTATTTTTCAATGCCTACTTGGACATTTAATTTGTAATAAATGTGTACTTATGTGTGAAAATTGCCCAACATGTAGAAATCCTTTCAACTCAAAACGTAACCTATATATGGAAAAAGTGAATTACTTTATATATTTTAACTGTAAAGAAAATATTCTTTATGTTAAGAATTCCTTTGTTTTTAGGTTTGTTATTTGGTAAAGTTTCCTTGTATAAATGCTTCAACTGGGTGTAAGCTGCAAATGTTTGTTGGTCAAAAAGAAGTTCATGAGAAAGAATGTTGTTATAGACATTACCATTGTTTTTTCTCTAATTGTTCTTGGAGAGGATATTATCCTGAATTGCGCACCCATGCGATTAATTATCACAGTAACTATGTTCTAACTGGATCAGAACAGGTACAGTTTATTAAACAATTATTAGAGAAAAAATTATTATTATTATATTTTAAATGTATTTTTTTGAAATTTTATATTTTACTAATTTCAATTTTATTTTTTAGTCTCTTGATATTATGTTGCCCAATAATAATCAAACATACCAGTGGTTTTTATTATCTCACAATGAATGTTTTGCTGTGATCGTTCATTCATCTAAATCACCTAAACGAGTAAAACTGTAAGGATTTTGTTTATTCAGTAAATAATTAAAATAGTTTTTCTAAAAAAAAGTGTATCAAAATAATGTAAAACAAGAAAAAATATGTGAATACAAATTTATTGTATTTAAATTTTTAATATAATGTTTATTATTGTTTTCAGCCAAGTAAATTTTGTTGGACCAGCTGTTAAAGCAAAACAATTTAAATTTTCTGTTTTGTTAACTCAGAATAAAGATCACTGTGATATGCCACAAAAGTTAATGTATGAGAGATCGACTCTTCCATATTCAACTGTCTATGAAATGTTAACCAACAATGGTCTAAAAAAAAAAGATATATTTTCTTTACCTGGTGAAATGCTAGGCCCCTTTATTAAAAAAAGACGTCATTGTCTACCAATTATTTTAAAAGTTGGTCCTGTATCTGACTTATAAATCTATCATTTGCTAATGAAAAATATGTTTTAATATATGTGTGTACTGTGTATATAATATATTGTATATTGTGTGTTGCAATAATTGTATTCATGTAGATAGTATTATACCATTAATTTATTATTTCTGTATACTTAGTAAAATAAAAAAGTATAAAAGCCTAAAATGTGTAGTAACATAATATTATGTTACTATATTATATTATAACATAATATGTAGAATTTATTTTCATTGAAGTGTGTTTAAATTTGAAAAATAAATAGTTCACAAAAAATATATATATATATATATATATTAATTATTAAAAGCTCATTAAATATGTATTATAAATAGACAATAGTAGTTTTATGTTATATTATATTATTTTAAATAGTTATATCATAGAATAATATATGCATAATTTTTTTGTACTTTTAGCATATTTTTTGTTAGAATTTAAACGTTATATGAAGACTTGAAAAAAGATGTTACTGATTAGTGAAACTTTCACAGTGTTGAGTATATTACTTTTAAAAAGTAATAAAATTACGTTAAGCATTACATTAAATATTTTTATTTAAATTATATTGGCATTACCCAACATTATTTTTATCACGTTACTTTACGTTTTCATTCAAAAATAGACTGTTTCAAATAGCATTCCTTTTATAAAGGAATTACAAAATTAGTCCATAATGACTAGTAACTAATAAGTAAAAGTTTCATTGTTAATGACTATGTTATACACGAACAATGGGATCTTTAATAATTTTGTTAATTATTATTTATTATCCATAAYTTTCGAAATCGTAAGTACGTTTTATTGATTTTTAATTTTTCTTGAATATTCTAGTTTATATGACGTAAGAAATATTGTGTAATCTACTCCATAAAAATAACTTAAAAAAAAAATTTTGCTACAATTACGTTAATTTAAATAAAATATAATGAAATTACTACATCGTTACTGCAGAGGTTGAACATTAGGTACATTGAAAATATGMATTTACTTTATCCTATTTTAGTATAATGTATATTATGTAGGTATACTGTATGAAAATGGCTTAAAATTATAAAGTCAAATAAAAGTATAGTTTGTCTAAAAAATAACCAAAATAGGTAAAATACCAATTAGGATTTACTTTATTTTTATTCAATCGATTACAAAGTAATAGAACGATAAGAACAATATTATCGATAAATTCTTAAGAAGAAAAAAAATGTCTGATGATACGGATTGTAAAAGCAGTGTGGAATTATAGTATAATATTAGTATTCCTTAGTAATTCCTAGTATTAATTACTATCAGTAATTAGTTACTAATCTATCTATGTAACATGCAATATTCTGATCACGGACTTGGAACTAAGATATAATCTAAGTATCTTTTCAGAACATGTACCCTAATCATAGGTTTGCTCACKAATAAATTAATACCTATATTTACGTAGGTATAGTGTTTTTAGATTTGTGATTATTGTAATTGTTTTCACATAACAAGGTAACAAGGTAATTTTTTTCCGTCCACGAAAGTTAGGTCGTAGGTGGTATACCCATTGCAGTTTCGTTTTTAGCGTGGGAGGGGGTGGTTTGGGGTTCAACCCCCCTCCGGAAATGTATGGTTGGCACGGACGATGATTGTAGAACTTTTTAGAATTAAAGAGGGAGGCTTGAAATATTAATTTGTTTTTGAATACCCCCCCTCCCCGAGATTAATTTCTACATACGCCATTGACACGTAGGTAGTTTTTTAATAAAAATTTAAATGATTYGTTCAAATAATACTGTTATTGGTTTAAATAATCGACGTTGTTGGTGCTTTTAAAACTGCAATGAATAACAAGTTGATTTTAATTTCTTATTCTTGTCTATAGAGTCTGGACATTTYGATTTCATTATTACAACATTTAAAATCAAGAATTAGAGGCGTATTACAGATATATTTTGTGATATAGCTTCTTATATACCTATGTTGAATCCGAAATTGTCACACTCTTTTTTATTAATATTAATTTATCGTAGTTGATACGCTGATTAGTAATTATAAAACTCTAGCTCTAGGTACAATTATAGTTAACTTATTCATTTTTTAATCAATTTAAAAATGTTTGTAAAATAAACTAGGTAATCAGAATTGAATTCGTTTCATTTTTAATTCATTTAAATACTCGTAATAACTGTTGGTAATACGTTTTGTATTACGATTTTAATTCAATAAATCCCTCATAATAGTCTCTCATGACCCGCGTGTAGTGGCGTAGGGAACTAAAGAATTTTCAGAGGCAAGTATATTTTTCTATAACCTGCACCTACCACTTTCGAGCACCTATTCTTGAACCACGAACACTGGGCTTATATCTCTCTCTTAACAGTGTCCTATAAAAAAACATTACATTGTCTCTCTTAGACAATTTTAAAACCATACCGTCTATATTATAAGATTAATTAAAAAAAACACTAAATGTTATTTTAAGAAAATCGAGACCCCCTTCGTTACGCCGCTGCCCACGTGTTAAAAAGATAATTGACTTGCGACAGTAATTTACCTAAATACCGGCCTATACCACAGAATTCCGTGTTATGAATTGTATAGATTTATATATTCCTAAACCCCAATCATAGCTAAATACTTAATTTAGCCATGTTCCGAGTAATATTCTGTTTTGGAATATTATGAAATAAAAATGTATTGTGCCATCCAAAGAAGTGATAAAATTGAAAATCAATGACGATGTATTATGTATACTTATGTATAATCTGCTATCATCTGTGGCAAACGTCAATCGTCGTCACTCGGCATTTGTCGGAGACGATTCACAATTTTATAATATTATTATTATTTATTTTTATTTCATATTTCATTCTGCTTAAGTTATTTTTATAAAGTTACTCGATACTTTCAGTTCAGAGTGAGATGAAGACAAATGAAAAGGATAGCAGTTCCTTTATTTAATCCGAAGTATATGCGTAAGTTTGATGACCTATTCTTTTGAAGATTACATATTTTACTTTATATAGTGTTAAAATTAATATTTACTGTCAATATTAATATTTATCAATCTGCTACCCGGGTGATGTRGACGCGTATTTTATTCCCGAGCGCGCAACGCATAAAATACGCAAGAACAAATTATGGCGACAAATCCAGATCGTAGAATAATAATAATATATTAATTTAACAATTAAATAGATATAAATAGTGTTGTACATTGTAGKCATACTACTGTATTACACCCCGGCGTTCTAATGTTCTGTATTATTTAAAATGTTTTCATTGTTACCATAAATAAATGTTTATAGTGTTATATTCTGGGGCGGATCCAGCCAAAAATAACGGAGAGGGGGCAGTTTATCGTAAATTAATTTTACGATGAAATCTGTGAACCAACCGCGAATTAAGGCAATGCCGTAATTTATTACACACTTAATAAAGCAGGGAAA